CCCCCCCCCCCCCCCGCAGCTGCCCCCGCCGCCTTACCTGGGACCGCCGGTCGCCTCCGGCCATGCCCGCTCGGCCCCGCGGCCTCCGGCCTCGCTCGCCTCGGCCCCGCGGCCCGCCGCCCTCTCCATCGGCGCCCGGCCCTGCCCAGCCGGCCTCGGCTCGCGGGGGGCGGGCTCCGGGCTGCGACTCTCCCCGGCCTCCCGTGGCGGCGCCCTTCCTCCCGAGCGCCCGCCGGGCCTGGCGGAGAAAAGGGGCGCGTGAGGCTCGGGCGGCGTCGGGGCTCCCTGCCCCAGCCTTCTTTCCGCCCGGTCTCACCTCGGGCGGCGGCGGGACTCGCCCCGCGAACCTGGCGGCCTCCGTCTCCACTCGGCGTTTCTCGGGCTGCCCAGCCGCCTCCGCCGAGCGGGCCTTCCGCGCTCCGGTCACGGCGACGCCCTCCCGCTCGGCCTTGCGCCGGTCCTCCTCGATCTCCTGTGCGGGCGAAGGGAGAAGCGCTCAGCCGCCCCGTCGAGCCCCGCCGCCCCGCCGCCCCCCGCCCGGAGCCCACCTGGTAGCGCCGGATGAGCGCCTGGTTCTTGCGCCGCAGCGCCTCGATGCGCTTGTCTAGCTCGGCGTCCTTCTCCTCCCGCGACCGCAGCTCCAGCTCGGCGGACTGCGCAGAAGGAGAGCAGCAGGAGAACGGGCGCCTCCCCCCCCCGCCGCCCACCCCCCCCCCGTGCGCCCCCAAAGCGGTCCCCGCCTACCATCCTCCACGCCGGGCCCGAAGCGCCCGGGCGCCCCCACGCGCGCCCCCCTTTAGCGCCGCCGATCCGCTTCCACTTCCTTCCGGAGAAGGCTGTTCTAGCTGCTTGCTGCGTCGTCCCTCCAGCGCCACCCCTCGGTCGGAGGTCGGGGCGTCGCCGTAGAGAAACAGGTGCCCGCGGGCAGACGGCCGGGAGAAGCGACGTCCCGTCCCTCCGGGGAAGGGCCTGCCCAGGAGGTTCCCGTCCTGTCCCGTTGGGGCTGCCGGCCTAAAGCGCCCTCAACTGCCAGCCGCGGTGGAGGCGCTTCTCTCCGGCCAGGGCAGAGGCCGGCCGCACCGCTGTCCCCTCGCCCCAAGCCGAGGAGACGAGGGGAGGGGGGAGCGAGAGCAGGTCCATATCCTGTACTTACACGCGACAGCTCTCCAAAATAAGACTTTACTTTTATTATTGCTGGATATCATCCTGTTGGTTTCAGCCAGTGTTCAAGCCTGCTGAGGTTAGACCGTAAGCCTTGCCCCCAGATGACATCTTTGCAGTCTGTTTGCACAGTGGCTAGCCACAACAAAGCCCTGCAGATACCTTAAGAAGCAGGCCCACTCAGTGCTCCCGGTACAGAATTCCAGAGTTTAATTATACCTTGTATTTTAAAAATGATTTCTCTCTCCTGATTTTTCCAGGATTCTAATTCATTTGGGTAACCTCTAAGTCTAGTATTTTGGGAGGGTGAAAATGGCTTATCCTTGTTTACTATATCATACATACTTTTGTACCTCTCTGTCATGTCTCCCCCCCCCCCCCCCCCCCCCCCCCCCCCCCCCCCGCCATTCATCTTCTTGCTAAAAATTCTCCAAATGTTGCACCCTTTCCTCTTGGAGAAGTTGCTCCAACATCTGGCTCATCCTCTGAACCGTCTCTAACTCCACTACTTCCTTTTGGAGGTGCAGCAATGGCACATATTATTTTCAATAACATGTTCAATGCCATGAACTGGCATATATAAGATCTTGGTCAATCTCCCTAGTTACATATCCTGCAAATTTGCTAAGCATTTATTCCATGCTACCCTCACTAGAATGGAGTCCTAGTGATCCCATCATACTTCCAAGACAATGCAGGACCATTGACAAGCAATCTGCGGGTGCGCTTGGTCAACGGATGCAAATTGAACACACTGCACAGTCTCTAACCTGCACAAGCAGATACTGAGAAACTTGTGATCTCACATTTCCACTATCGGTTGGGTGGCTAATTTAGAAAAGTTCTCTCCACATCCTCTCTCAGTGGGTGGCCCACAAGCCTGCCACTTCTTACTCCTTCTAATTGTAATTGTAAAACATTTCACAAATGCTGATCGAAGGCAATATTTGTAGCTTAGGATTGAACTGTGGGGTCCTCAGTGCTCTCTGAGCTTACTAACTAGGTAATATGGATATTCCTTAGTTATGTAATGAAACGTCTGTCAAGCTCAGAGAGCACTGAGGACCCTCCACAGTTCATAGGCACATAGGGCTTCTTTACATATGCAACTACTTCATCACATTTCCTTGGAACAAAGCTGTGACTATCCTTGATGCTCCATTCACGACTCTCCTCCCAGAAGCCTTGAGGTTGCTGGCTTCCTCCAGCTAGGTTTGTGTCCCTAATTCCTGCTCTTTAGGACTGTTTATTTTCACACCAGCTGGACTCTCAGGCAAGCATGACTCCATCAAGCCTTACTGGGTGCTTTTAAAGAAGGGCCCCAGTTGGCTGCATTCCAAGCAGCCCCTTCCTCCCCCCAGTTCATACCAAAGGTGGAGGCAATCCCAGCAGCCATCCCCAGCAGCAGCCGACAAGCATGGGGTGGCTCAAGGCTGCAAAGCTGCCATCCCCTCTGATCAGGTCCGGATGTAACTATTGGAGGACTGCAACCACAGGGGGCTCTTCAGCCGGCAGAGGCTGTTGCAGCTGGGCCCCAATCCCAGCCTAATAGCGTCCAGCTCTCCTCTTCCTGGCTGGGATGAGGGCCTCAGACCAGTCCCCCCCCCCCTTTCTGGGCCAGTTGCTGCTCCTCGGAGGAACAGCCGTGGATGCTGTTTCCATGGCAGTTGCTTTTCCTGCTGGGATGGTCAGCCCTGATTGGCTGCGGCGGTGGAGTGGAAGGGGGTTGGAGGGGCGGGAACCAAACGCCGCCGCCTTCTACTGTTGCTGCACCAGCGGCGAAGGCAAAAGAGGGGCGGGCGGGGCTCCCTCTTGAAACGGGTTGGGCTGGCGAACTGCAAACCGAATCTCGGGACCCTAAAGATGCTCTCGGACCTCTGAGGAGGTCCAGCGCCTGGGCAGCCGGGACTCCGCAGCCCTAGAGTTCTCCGGAACACCGTCTGGCCCCTGGTGCTCTCGCTCTAGCCGCCCGGACAGGCATCAGAAGCAAGGAGCGCCGCTCCGAGGCTCGCGGCTGTAACTGCCGCTGAGTTGGAAGGCCCACCACCCACCGGCCCCCACCTTCTCCCCAGGCCCACGCAGCGGGGCGAATAGCCCGAACGGTCTCTGGTCCGGCTTCCAGCGCGCCTAGGGCTCCGTAACTGGAGCCAAACGCCCCGCCCTGGCCTCCTCGGCTGATGGGTGGGTGACCGCCGGCCGCGTGTTGCCTGGTTTCTGGGCTGCCGGCAGGCGCTTTCCTGTGGAAACAGGCACCTGCCGGCCGCTGAATGGTTGCGCACCGCCCTCGACGGCCAATGGAAGCGCCCGCAACCGCGGAGGGGCTCAAGGCAGCCAAGCGGAACCGGCGGGGTGCGCAGGGCATCCCTCTCGAGGCAGCCGCCTCCGGATTTGCTTGAGCGCCTCTGCCTCTGCCGCACTTGCTCGACGCTCCCCTCACATCCCCGGATGCCCTCCCGCCGCGGGGTCCAGGGCTAGACCAGGGCACGTTCAGAGCGGTGCTTAAACTGCCAGGTGTCCGCCTGCCGCCGAGTTCGCGAGTAAAAAACGACTCGGCCCGGATCCTTCGCGCGGACGGGGCTCGAAGGGCCAATTCCGGCCGCCTTAGGCGGAGAGCGCGACCAACGTGCTCGCGCGGAACGCCTCCGCCTCGCCAGCTGGAGGCGGACTAGAAGGCATGGCGGACTGTCCGGGTAGCCTCGGCGCTGCCTCCCCGGGACCATCCCCCAGTCCCCGGGGATGACCTCATCGCGAGGCGGCGTGCACAGGGAGGGAGCTGTCACTGGGCAAATTCACTTGCGCCCCAGCCGCCGAAGCCAGGCGTTCGTCCTGCCCTGCCCGGCGCATGTGCCAGCCGAGCCCCCCCCCCCCGCCAAGAAGCAATAAACAGTGACGTCAACGCGGGGGGGAGGGAGAGCGCAACAGAGACAGCCGCAAAAGCGCTCCCACCGCCTCTACGCCTCGCGTCGCCATTGGCTGCTGCCTGGCTCCCGTCCCGGCGACGCGGCGCTCGTTGGTTCGGCGGCAATGGGGCTCAGCCAGCCAGCGACTGCAGCCCCGCCCCGGCGCTGGGCCCGCTTGTTCCTGGATGCCGCGCGACCCTTCGCTGCGCTCCCCTAGGTGCTCGCGCGGCAGCTCGGAATAAACAAGCGCCTCGGCCGCGCCGAGTCGTGGACTGTGCTCCGTGGCCAACGCCTCTTAAGAGTTAGCCCGGGCCAGGGGCTTCGGGAAGCGACCCGACGTGTCTGGCCCGGCAGCTGACCGGCGGAAGCGCTGCCCCCTCGCCGCCTTCCCAGCCGACTGCCCGGTGCTGGCGGGCGTGGCGGGCCGCGGTCCTGGCCTGGACAGCAGCCTCCTGTTTCGGCCCACTTAGCTCACCAGAACCGGCCCCGCGCCTAGTTGGGGCAAAGAGTCTCTCTCGCTGTAGGGCAACCCCACCAAGGCTCACTAAACCCCAGCGCCTTTCCCAAGGGCCGCCCGGCTAAAAGAACCTCTGCTCCTGCCCCAACGGAGGAGGCTGGCCGCCCCTCTGCCCCTCCTCCACAGGGAAACCAAAGGCGGCGGGCTCGCTTCCCATCTGAGGGTTCTGCAGGAACCTCCGCTCGGCTCATGGTCTCGCTGTCCGAGCAGGAAAACCCGGGCCCGGTTCCCCAGAGGTCAGCCGCCTTTTTCTGCCCTTTCACGTAAGAAACGCTGGGCTGGAGGGGCCGATCTGCCCTTGTCAGGCGAGTTCTGCCGCAAGGACGGGGAGCACGACCTCAGGCCGATGCGGAGCCGCTGCCATGGAGGCGCCCGCTCTCTGCGTTCGTGCCTTCAAAGGGGCGGCAGTGGGGCTGGTCCGAATAGCGGGCTGGGTGGGGTGCCCTGACTGGCCGGTCGGAGACGAGCGCTGAGACGGTGAGGCGGCCGGGCAGGGGCACCTCGCCCCTCCCGCGGGGAGATCCCCGGCTTTTGCACAAGCCCGAACTTGCCTGGGGGCGGGGGCGGGGCGGTGACGTCACGACGGGCGGGGTCTGCGGGCTGGCAGCTCTGCTCAGCGCGGCTGCCTGGCTCGCAGCGAGGATCGTCCCGCCGCTGCTTCGTCCGCTTGCCCTGCCTCGCTCGTGCCGCCGCTTGCGCCGCCCGTGCCAGTCGGAGCCCCGCGACCCCTGAGCCGCCCCGGAGGGTTCATGCAGCTGCAGTAAGTGCGGGAGGACGCCGCGTCGGGTCGGCGGGACTCGGTCCGGTCGCGGAAGCGGGCGGGCGGGCGGGGCACACATGGCCGCAGCGGGGTTGGGATCAGGGCGTTCACTGCTGTTGGGGCGGGGAGAGACCCCGTGCCCAGGGCAACCCCGCAGCCGAGACGAGCCAGGTGCCGAACCGCCGCTCGGTTTGTTTACAAACACGGGGCTTGGCGCGGCCGTTCTGCTCCGCCCCTTGGCTGGGTCGCCGAGCCTGCTGCGTTCCGAGCGGCCAGGCGGGCGGTTCGTCGCTCTGTGCCTTGACCGCTGTTTGCCCGGCAGATCCCCGCGAGCGCCATGGCTAGACCATTGCAGGACCGGAACCTCGTCGAGCCGACAGCCACTGTGTCCCGGAGCCCAACCTTCCCTGTGGGGGGGACGCTGGCCCTGCCGCCCGCCGTCTGCCGCCCGCCGCTCGCCTTGCCACCCGGGCTAAACTGCCTCTATCGTTGCGGGCGGGCGCTGGAGCCTCCCGGGAGCGTCCGTGGTGAGTGGTGTCGCTTCCCGCGTCCGCCAGGATAGCTGATGATCCCGTCGCCGCGCCTCGGCGAATTTGTCCCAAGCGTTGCCTGAAGCGCGGCCCGACTGCTCTGCTTTGCTTCCACGGCTGCCCCGACGTGGCTGGAGCTGGTGCCGTGCTGCGCCTCTAGCGGAGCTTTTTTTCTGGGAAACCTCGCCTCGGCCCCATCCTGGAGCCCAGCCCTCCAGGAAAGCCGCACCACCACCACCAGGCCAGTCCTCTGGAGCCCGAGGCTGGAGAGGGTGGGAGCAGCGGCCAAAGGGGGCGGTGCCCGCAGCTTCCACTAGGATCCTGCCAGCCTCCTAGGCCCCTTGCTGACACCGGGACAGGCAGCGCCCCTGCCCTGCTGGCATGGGGATCCCTCCTGCCTGCCCTTAGGATCTCAAGCCCCCAGCAGCACTGACCTGAAATGCCCCTGCTAAGCTGCAGCAGCCCCAGTTGCCAAGGAGATAGGAAGCCACACTGGAGCTGCTCCCATGCCTCCTGCTGCTGAGCCCTGTCCCAACCTGCCAGAAGGCACCCTTGCCCGCCTCACCTCCCTTTCCTTCTCCACAGTGAGCATGCAGCCAACAGCATCCTGCACCCAAGAGGAAGCCCCCAAGGAGCCAGAGCAAAGTGCAGGGGGTCCTAATGGGCACCTCCCAAGAACCCCACACAACCTGGAGCAGGCCATCGGGGCTCGGCTTCGCCACATGGGAGACCGTTTCCATCAAGACCACGAGCACAGGGTAAGCTTTGGGGGTAGAGTAAAGGGTGCTGTGCACCAGACCTGGCCCCACATCTTTTCCCCTTGGAGAATCCAACTTCCTGGCTTGGAGTTGCTGCATCCTGGGCCAGAAAGAGGCCAACTGCCCACCCCACCCCCCATCCCTGCTTCAGTCTGTTCACTCACGGAAGGGCCTGGCCCAGCAGCAATTCGGAGTGTATAAATAAGCATTGGAGGCAATAGCACGGATGTTTGTCCTTTTAAGCACCTGGACAGGGAGCTGGGTGAGGCCAGCCCTGTCCCTGCTCAGTAGTCTTTCCTTGTGTCTCCTTCTGGCATTTAGGAACGCAGGCCTCAAGGTGCCCTCTGGGCCCACTTGTACCATTTCGTCTTCCATCTACTGGGTATCTTGGACAACTTACCTGCCAGGGGGTGACAAACAAGCCTTGGAGTGAAGAGCCATCTACTGAGCTGCTTTGGGACTTCTCTTCCTGCTGGCCAGGAGAACAGCAGTCTCAGTGGAAGAACAGATGCCCGCGAACAGCCGGCCTCGAGCCCATCATGATGGGCAAACAATGCCCTGCTCCAAGTTGCCGAGCGCCATGGCACCCTTTTGCCCCAGCCCAGCAGTGCCTTATGGGGAGCTGCACAGATGGGTGGGGGCGAGACAAGTTAGCACTATGTGAGTGTGTTTCACTGAACCTGTACATGCGGGTTGGGGGACAACAGAATTGCACTTGCCACCTCGACTCGAGGGACAGCCTACAATGTCCACTGTCAATAGGGCCTGGACTTGTATACAGATATGTGGGGTGGGGGAGGGGCGGCGAGAGAAAACCTGCACATTAGTGCAGCTGCTGCTGTGTGTATATAGACGGTCTTCATGCCTGTACATAGAATACAATTGGGTGCTACCTGTACATACCTGAGGGGCTGGTTGTCCGTATCTTGTGAAGAGGTGGAAATTTTTTTGTATATTTCCTTTTCAATAAAACTGGATCAAAGCAGAAACGGCACCTGGCTCTTTTATCCTATGGAGCAATGTAGGCCAAGGAGGTGCCAATGGGCAAGGAATCCCTTTGGCATCCTTCCCGATGATGCTTGTGGGAGAATAAGGACTGCAAGAGGTCACACTCCTCACCAAGGAAATCTCTGGTTCCACCAAGAGTGGGAGAGGAGAGCCAGGCAAGGCTTAGCCCCTCTCTGTGGCCTAGCAGACATAACCCTTCTGGAAAGCTGCCCCTTCTCTCTTAACATGGAACCTGAGCTCCCCCATGTCCAAGCCCAAAGCAGCTCTTTCCCTCCCAAAGCGGCCTTGGACACCTAATTGCTCCAGAGAGCTAATGACAGCTGCCATGGGGACTATCCTTCCCCACTCTCTTGCAAGTCAGGCTGAGCCAGGGGGCTTGCAGCAGCACAGGCATCATCTCTCCTTCTCTAAGGCTGGGGACTCTGCTGTCTCCCTCCCCCCTCCATTTAAAGGGGATGTTGTGGGGAAATCACTGCCAGGGAGACTTGGTAACCAAATAAGTTTTTATTTAGGCTAAGTTGGGAAGAAACATTATGAGGGGTGGCTGTTCAGGAAGGGAATCCATAACTGAAGACCCATCTCCCAAGCCCACGTAGTTCAGGATGGGAGGTTGGGGGCCAGGCACTCTACCACCCCACTGCCCTTTACACCATCAAAGAAGAAGAAATTGTTGAGGGGAGGGTCCCGTTGTGAGAGAGCCTAGGAATAAGAAAGTAGGGGCAGAGGGTAACAGGCCTGGAGGCAGCAGGAACCCCATTACTCTTTGTGCCCCTTGACTGTCTGCCAACGAAGACCCTTTCCATACGAAAGCTCTGCAGAGCAGAAGGGTTTACTTTGCCAGGGTTTCAGGCCACCCCATCTCCAACCCCTTTGCAAAGCGGCAGGCAAACCAAGCCTTGGGTTGGGAGAGGCCTTCCCCAGGCAAAATGCCACACTCTGCTCCCTTCAATTCAGGGCCAGAGCTGGGGGGTGGGGGGGGCGTAGAACATACCTTGACAGCCTCCTGGCTCAGCACCCCTCCAACCACAGCACAAACGGGGGCCATTTCTGAGAAGCAGCTGTTGATATCGGCAAACAAGGAAAAGTCAGGCAGGGGCCCCAAAGCCTGTTGCTCGTAGGGAAGGGAAGAGCTCATCATCTCCTGCACCGGATGTGCAGATGAGGCAGCCCCATATCAGCTGCCCTCTCCTGGCCTACGCAAAGGGAGGCCGCATCCTTTTCTGCACTGGATGAAGGAACTGATGAAGGAAGGTGATCACAGAGGGAGGAGGGGTTTCCCCTGCCACGTCTTCCCTCTTAATGCCCACCCCCCAGCCATCGTCCTTCCCTCAGGCAGCCTATAGAGGAAATGGGGGCCAGCATTGCCACCGCTGCCCATTGGCTGCTGGGGAACATGCTCCTACTTGTTGGGCCACACACAGCATCCTGAGCCAGTTTTTCTACAGGATGTCCATCCACTGCCAATACCACCTTTCGCTCCTTGGTCCCAAGCTGGGGTGGGGGGAACGGGGACAGTTGACCCGCAGCAAGGCTGGCCCCCTAATCTGGTCAAAGGAAGAAAGGAGGCCCCTGCCTGGCAAAGTCGTCAGCAATCAGGTCAGTTCCAACACCCAAAGACGCCAGCACACTCAAGCGCATCTGCCGGAGCGCCTCTGCATCCTCCAGGTAACTCAGTGGGGAAGGGTCTCGCCCCTTTTCTGTCCGGAATTTGAAAAGCACTGCAAGAGGAAAAGACCACAAATAATCTGTTTTACAAGACATACAGCATGCCCAGAAGCCTGTAAGATTGCCACCCAGCTCCCTTATTTGGGGGTGCTCATCTCTGCTCCCCTTGACCTGTCGAGAACTGTAAATCTAGTAAGTCAAAAGGCAGTGATTGCCCTGGGCCAAGATCCACAGTCCGTCTGGACCACCTCCATGCTCATGGAGTCAATCTGCAGCATATAGACCACAGCCCTGACTCCTTCTGACATTCTTCTTCCCCAAAGGGGTGACACAAAATGCCACAACCAATTACACCCCTCCCCCCGAAAGAGGACCTGCAGTTTGCTGTGACCAAAGAACAAAGAGGACGGGTTTAGTGATGAAGGCACCAGAAAACTGGGAGGATGCCAGTTCAAGTTCAGCCTTAGGCATGAAAGCCACCGATAAAGATAAAAGGTTTGTAAGAGTTGAAATGAGGGATCCTTGCTGCTCTCTGAGCTGGGTTGTTTTCTTGCAGACATTTCAGGATCAAACTGGGTAACATCATCAGTGCTAGTGAAAGCATGAAAGCCAGCTCTGTGACTTTGGGCCAGTCACCCTCTTAGCTCAACCCACTTCACAGGGCTGTCGTTCCATGGAAATAGGGGGATGTAAAAGTATCTCCATGGTGAAGGGGGGAGCCATTGCACTCTCTATGAATGCTTGGTCTGTTCTAGGACCAATTCCCAGGGTGCTTTGCTTCAACTCCCGTCCGCTTCTCCCTTGGGCCACAAAGAGTTCACATGCCCGTCAGCTGGAGACTCCTCCATTGTCTGCTCTGGTCAGGAATCACATGATCCAGAAGGAACACTCGCCTCCTATTCTGCTGTCCCACTGCTAGGCCAGATCCTAGCAATGGCTTCCATCTCAGCTGCACCTCTCACCTTGCAGCAGGAAGTAATCTGGGGCAGTCCGCTTCAGGGCTGCTTTGGCCCCTTCACTGCTCCAGCTGAGAGTCAGGGCATCTTTTAGGAGGCAAAAATGAGCATTCTGGGAATGGGGGGAGAAAAGAACAGTGAGGCAACAGAGGCATTCAAATAGCTTCACTTAACCTGCAAGATGCTGCAGGGAGCTAGTAGAACTAAGCAGGTACACCCAGGATCCAGGAGTTAAGGATGTTAACTTAGAGTTAGAATAATTTTATTGACATTTTAATTTTATTGTAACTCTGCTTTACTGTACAACTTGTTCAGTTTTCTGCATCATTTGCTCTTTTCTCTCCTTCCCTATACTGACAACTAAGAGACTTAAATAAGAAATCGGAAAAATCCGCTTTGACATCAATAGGCAATTAAGCTGAAAATAAAACAAAATGCCAAAGGGATAATAAAGATTTCTGGACATTAAAAACTTTCTTTTTCATAAGCAGGAAGGGAGAGGAAAACAATAAGGGCAGGATCTGGAAGAGGGAGGAGACTGCCTGGAATTAAAAAGAATCTAAAGTAAAACTTCAACAAGACTTATAAAAGATACATTTTAACTGACACTTTGCAACTAAATAGTAACCCCAGGAAGAGAAAGTGAAAAAAAAAGAGCAAAAAAGAAACAGCTTGCGTGTATTTGGATTATTTGGTGATCTTTGGATTTTTGGTTATTATATTTGAATGACTAAAATCAACTGGGTGGTTGTTTAAAAATTTATACAATGGCACCACTTCTGGATGAATTGAAAATGGAACTTAAAAAGTACAAAGAAGATGCACAAGAAGGGAAGGGTTCTTTTGGCTTCGTCTTTCAATTTTTAGAAATGGAGATTTGGAACTATGAGAAACAACAAGAAAAGACTGCAAAACAAGACGACTGGGACAAAGAAGAAGCCATCTTTAATGAACAAGCCATTTTATGTGGGGAAGAAAAAGGAAAGGGGGGAAAGAGAATGGAGAATTTAAGACTTATAAAAACAACCAAAGAAAAGAAAAATAATTCGAAAAATAAGTATAATACTGGAAAGCAACAGAAAAGGGGAATACAGAAGAGAGAAATAGAGGTAGAGAGACAAGCGGGTAAAAAGGGGAGAGAAGAAGAGAGGGAAGTAGGAAAGGAAAAGAAGTTACAAAGGACCGGAGCAAGATATAGAGAAACAGGACCTATTTAGAGATAATGGGTGAAAATTTAACTAAAAAGGGGATTCTGTAAAGGTACATAAGATTGTATTGTTATATTAGTAATAGAAATAGCTTTAGAAAATTGGAAACAACGTATGATTAAAATGAGGGATAAAATAATTAGTGTAATTTAGCGAAATGTTTGTGAATAAAATAAGTGAAATAAAATAAATGAGAAAATTGAATCAGGAAGGAACGGGAACATTTTAATTAGTTAATGTTTTATAAAATATAAGTGAAGGGGGGGGGAATTAACTATGGAAAGCTTATAATTGTTCCCATAGAAGTATGATATTTAATTGAAAAGTAATGATAAAGATGTTAAGACTTTAATGAATATTAATGTTAATGATATAATTGAATTGGAATGTTGTTTTAATTATATACATTTATAATTTTTTTCTTTTTTTAAGAATATAGTGTGTATTTTAAGAATGTACCAAGCAGAATCCGAATGGAAGTTATGTATTATATTGAATGTTACAACTTTAGGGAAAAGATATAAAGGCGTCATACTCCAAATCAGTAACTACAGGAGAAATTTTGTTTAATGAGAAAAGATAATAGATAATTGAAACAGGACAGACAAAAAATATAAATACAATGATTTGAATTGAGATAATTAAAATAAAATTGAGAAAATTAAAAGAGGGGAGAAGCTATGCAGAAAATGTAAAATAGTAATAAGATATGGAATAGAATATAAAAATGAGCATGAACCTGAATTTGTGTCTGTACGAAGAAATGTAACCTGGGATTATGCTGCTTTCAAAAAATATGTTTTATTTGTATTTTTTTATCTTTGTAAAAACTCAAATAAAATTTACAAAAAAACAAAACAAAAAAAAATGCCTGTGACATGGGAGGCCAAGCAAACAGTGAATATCTGCAGGACTAGGGTAGCTCGCCTGAAGGGCCTCTCAGCTCCAGGGAGTTCATTTATAGCTTGGCCATGAAATTGATAAAATCTCCTACACCACAAACAGAAGTAAAAGAGGCTCTGAAAGAAGCAGCCAAATGGTGAAGTCGTATTTCTTGGTACAGTCCTACCTCTCCATCTTCTATGATCCACAGACACAGACTTCACCCACCTTCTTCACCAGGGTTGTCTCTGCAATATCCAACTTGGCTTTCTTCGCATCTGAGCCACCCTGCCCTTCCTGGCTGGCTTTGGTAGTTTTTGTCTTTTCTCTGAAAAGCAGGGTGAGGGAGCGATCAGGGAGGTTAATATAATAGTTTCCACCCCTCATTTCAGTCAGTAGTTCGCTTACAGAATGGTAGCCTTCTTGTCTTCCAATACAGATGTCCAAGAGGAGCTGCTCTTGGACCTATACCCCCTCCCAAGCGGCTTGAGGGCGGCTTCAGATACAGGTGTCAGCCTTAGATTCCAAGCCAAGAGAAACTCACTCAACAAATTCATGTTCACCCAGGTTGGCAAACATGTAGCCGTGATAGCCAAAGACGTCACCAGTGAAGAACTTGATGCCGTGTTTCTTGCATATTTGGTCCACCTTCAGGAGGACTTCCTGGGTGCAGCATGTCAGGCAGACCTGGAATATGAAAAATAGCAGGGAAGACAGAACAAGCAAACATCAACCCCAGCTGTTTTCTCTTCCCTTGAACAGGAAATAATTCCCCCGGCCCTTCCCAGATGGTCGTCAAGCCTCAGAGAAGGCCATAGCTTGCTCAACAAACCAGGCAGGCAGCCCTCCTTCACCCCACCGGGAGTCTTGTGGAGTCAGTGGGCAGAGAGAGGGAAATGGCCCAGGTGTGGCCTGATCCCTGCAGAGACTCACCACATCAAAGCCAGTGAAGAATTCCTCCGGTTTCTGCTCAATATTCTCCGGATCTGCTTTCACATCAACCATGGGATTGAGGTCCTGAACGCGCTCCAGGGACGCCTCCGCTCGGTTCTTTCCCCGGGAGCTGGCTGGAAGCAGGAACTGGCCTCGCGCGTCTTCCAGGGACACCTACGAGGAGCGGGCGGGTCGGAGCCGGGGGCACCGGGCACCGTTCCCCTCCCACCGCTGCCTTCCCGGGAAGTAGCCTCAGAGGCAGCCGGGCCCAAGCCTCCCTCCGACTGCGCTTCTCTTCCACCTTCATAGCCGCCGAGGCCGAGCCAAGCGGGCGGCGGAAGTCTCCTCCCGCTGCTCCGACCCTAACAACCGCCCCGCTTCTCCGCCGGCCCTTCGGACCCACCTGGCGGTGGTCGAGCAGCGTCAGCGCCTTCACGCCGGCCAGCGCCAGGTTCTTGGCCACCTCCGCGCCCAGCCCGCGCAGCCCGGCCACCAGCGCCCGAGAGCCGCGCAGCCTGCGGGGCGGAGAGACACGCGTCAGGGGCGCCCGAGGTCTCCCCCCCCCCCGCCCCCCCCCCCCCCCCCCCCCCCCCCCGGGCGCCGCGCTACCGCTTCTGCGCCTCCAGCCCCCAGAGGCGGATCTGCCGGTCGTACTGCGCCGCCTCCTCCTCGCTGATCCCGCCGCCGCCGGAGCGCCCCTTCTCCTCCACCATGGCGGCCACGCAGCCGTCCCGCCCCCACCTTCCTCCCTTCGCGCCTGGCCGGCTTCTTCGAATGGCGGCGAGGAGGCGGGGTCTGGGGAGGAGCCGCGTCGCGCCCCGCCTCTGGGGGGGGACGACGCGGCCGCTCGGGTGAGCCCGGCAGTTTCCGGCGCCGTTCGGGCGTTTCCGCCGTCGGTCCTGCCCCCGCGTTAGCCGCCTCGGGTCGGGTCGGGTGTGGCCGCGCGCGCCGCGCCTGGCTGGCTGGCTGGCTCGGGCGTCGCTCTCTCTCTCGCTCTCTCGCTCTCTCTCTTCTCAGGCGGGCCGGCGCCATTTTGTGTGGTGCAGCCTCGGAGCCAGCCTGCCGTCCCTACCGCCGCCGCCTGCCTGCCTGCCTGCCTGCCTGCCGGCCAGCGAGCCCACGACCGAGCGACCGAGCGCGGCGCCAGGCCCGCCCGTACAGTGACTGTGCCCCGTGCCCCCGTCGCGCCCGCCCTCCCCCCCAGCCCGGCCCCCCCATGGCGGTGGAGAGCCCCAGCGTGCCTCCGCCCAGCAGCCCCCACGCCAGCAGTCCCCCGGCCCCCTCTCCGGCCGCCGCCGCCGCCGCCGCCAACCCCCTGCTCCTGCACGGCCCCCTCGGCAGCCCGGGCCTCGGCGGCGCTGGCGCCCGGCCGCTCCAACAACACCTCCTCCTCCACGGGCCCGGCCCGGACGAAAGGTCCAGTACCCGCCTCTCTTTTCTCTCTCTCTCTCTCTCTCTCTCTGGGTCTCGCGGGGGGCGGCGGGCGGCGGGGGTCTCGCGGGGCGGGGGAGGGAGCCCTCATCAGCGCCGGGGCGAGCAGGGCCGGGCCGGCCGGCGGTAAGTAGCAGCAGCAGCAGCAGCCGCGGCCCGTTTCCTCGCCTGGCCGCGCTCCTTCCTCCCCCGCCGCGCCGACCGAGGGGTTCAGCCGGGTTAAAAAGCCCGAGCCCGCCGCGATGCGTCCGGGAGCCCCCCGTGGGCCGAGTCCGCTTCCGCTCCGAGGTTCGGCTGAGCTCGAAGGAAAACTGTAAGCAGCCGCGAAGTGCGACAATCACAAGAGTCCCCAAAGTCTCACCACACGCTCCCGCGTCCCCCCCCCGCCCCCCCCCCCGCCCCCCCCCCCGCGACCGACCGAGCGTGGCCGTGTACAGTACAAGCACCTGAGCGCCCCTGTTGTGGCCCGTTGTTAACCACACACCGTGAACAGTCCACGCTTTTCCCCACACGAGATCAAGGAAGCCGGGTCCTGCCCATTAGGTTAGCCCCGAGCCCGGTCCGCTCCAAAACCGGGCCCCCAGTCTGGTAGCATAACCGTGTTCCCTGGCACACTCTTTCCTTTTTTTCTGAGTGGGGAGGAAGCCACTCTTGCTCATCTAAAATAATGTTGCCTTATTTGTTCCCCTTTACTTGCCTACCAAGTTGGTGTTGTGCTCATGTACTAGAAAACCTAAATTTACAAAACAAGGAAATAAGTTGGGCATTTTTACAAGTTAACATACAGTACTAATGCACCATTAAGCCAATACCTCTATAGTTCTTTGTAATTTCTGCCTCTTTAGTGTGGTTGCCTCTGTAGGGTCAATCGGGTATTCTTGGCAAGCATAAATTTTCCTTTCTGGTGCTAAAACGTGATGGCCAAAATAGTAGTTAACTTGACCAATGTTTGTAGCTTGGGACGAAGTAGATTTCACTCTCATACTTTATTTTATGAAGCAACAAACATACATTTTCTCAAAGGACACATTTCAATGTTGTAACAGCTCACTATAACGTATATGAAACATTCAGTCACTATAACATATATGAAACATTTAACTATTTTACAGCGCTTCAACCAACCTTTTAGAAATTTCCATAACCCAGTTGACTTTTTCCCATTATTTCCGAGGAAGCTTGGGTCCACAGGAGAGTGAGGCAGGGAAGAGCAACCGAAAGCTGCCATTTGACTTCAGCTTTCAATGGCGATTGCCATCTTGCCGTTCCAGATTTATCATTTTAAATTAATCATTAAGCATAAGTGTGGATGAAGCTGTCTCTTAGCATTTAAAATAATTCCTTGATATTTCTAAACCTTAGATAGACCAGAGCTTCTGGGGTCCATCAGAATCTTTTTCTTGATAGTTGTTATAAAATGGGGCTCGGAGTTCACATAGGAATATACAGAATAGCATACCAAAATTTTATATATTGTTTTACACTGTAAATTCTGATCCTTTGCCCAGTAGTTCGGTATACACTCCAAATATGCTGGTCGATGGTCTACAAAGCTTCTCTGATTTTCCCTGGATAGTTTTGCAGGAAAAAAGTGGGGAAAATCAGGATTGCGAGATTCCAGGGTTAGGAATCAGCCGGGCCAGCTGGCAGATTCCTGCTCTGCTGCTGTTTTGAAGTGGCATCTACTGACTTCCCACTGGTTGTCTGCTCTAAGAGAAACCTGTTGAATTTGGCACGTTCCCTCTTGGAAGAATTGGCTCAGTGGTGAATCTTGTGAGTCAGCAGAATTCTAAAGGAACACAGCACCTTTAGTTTTCTGACCTCTTCACTCAAGCGTTGTGTTTTCCAGCAGGCCCAGAGGTCGCTTGGCATTTGAATGGCTTCCATAATTGCAGCAGGTCTCCTGGAGACAACAGCTGCACTGGACAGCTGCAAAGAGGGGCAGGTGAAATGTATTCCATATTTGGTCTTGGAGGTAGGGATGTCCTCAATGTTAAGGAAAACAAAGCAAAATTAGCCACCCCAATGTCACAGTGTGTAACCGGGCCTTTGAAATTCTCCATCAAAGGCAACAGCGCTCCTGGCTCCACCATGGAAGTGAAAATCCAAAGTCAAGTTAGTCTCTCTTGAAGCTCTGCTGGGATATAGAATTGATTAGGCGAATTGACTCTGATGGAAATCAGCAGAATATAGTCAGGCTCTGAGCGGTTAGGTAAAATTGTGTTTGGCTTGTTTTTGGTGGAAGCAGCATTTCCTTTTGCATGCTTTTACCTATTGAGTGAAGTGCACTTTTAGGTAAAATTTTACTTTGACCATTCACAATAATGTTCTTCAAATGTTACTGGTTGTATTGCTTTTTTTGTAGCTGCAACTCTACGGTTTGCCTTAGTTTTGGGTTCAGTTCAAAGCAGGCTAGGAACTGTGGTGCTGTAGTTGTATTGGTTTCATCTTCCTTTATGAAGAAATCGCACTGTTAATGTTGCTGGCCCCAGTGTCTTGGGGGTGTGGTGTGTATAACCAGTGGTGGCTTTGAGTGTGCGACTCAGTAGCCTCCCCTGGCTTGAGCTGGCACTTCCTGGATCCTCCTGGAAACTTTGAAAGAGAAGCACCGCCTCCATTTTGTGGCAGAGGGTTGCAGGGCAATCCTGCCAGGAGATCCGCGAATCAGGCTTGGCTGGGGAGGATTTCCACAGCTTTCTTGTTCAGTGCCACTAGGCGGCTGCAGAGACAACCAGCTTTAAAAGAACAGAATTTGAAAAGTTATTTCTGTCTAGTTTTCAGGACAAAGCTTATTTAGCCTTCCATTTATTTTTCCTATTGGAACTAAGCCAGAGCCTGAAGTTCTGTCATTGAGATTCTAGTCTGTAGTCTTTTTTAAGGAGTAGGGATACTTTATTTGACCAAGTGTGATTAGACACACAAGGAATTTGTCTCTGGCACAGAAGCACTCGGTGCACTTGCAGTCAAATGATAGAATCATAATCCTATTCATAATGATCATAATGCCAGTGTCATCGCTCCTCTCTGCTTGTCCTTCTCATTTTCAGTGTTCTCCTCTTCAGCTCTGCATTATGCTCCCTTCAAGCTTTGTGATTGTTGAGTCCTTCCTACCCTTTTCCAGCTCTAATCTTGGTGCCTGGACCATACAGCTTCCCTGCACGTTCGTTTCCCCCCCCCCCCCCCCCCCCGCCGCTCCTCCTTTGAGCTTCTGCCAAGGCTTCATTGATCCTCCAACAACCAGGCACTAATCCCTGCCCTGAATACTGCAATATTGCAGTATGAAAACTGCCTGAATTAGTGACAGGAGAGGGGGGAATGTCTGGATCAGACCTGGGAGGAGAATCCCATGCTGGGCTGCTGTCTGGCTCAAGTCATGTGATCTGTGAGCTCACACAGGTTGACTGTGAGGCAGCAGCCTACCTGGAGAACATTCTGCAGAGGTAGCCAAATGTAGTCCCATGGTGGGCTAGCCACAAGACTAGCAATTCCCCTAATATCAGCTTTATCCTGTGAAAACACCATAGCTTCATGGCAACCACGTTGCTTTGTTCTGTAGCCGGGGTGAAAACGTTTGGCAAGTTGGAGGTGGCAGAATCGTACACTTTTCAGTAATAATAATAATTTTACTCAGAGTTGTAGTTAGTAGCTTGCCACACAGTTGTAAGCCAACATGTGTTAGATCTGGGATTATTTTTGCTTTGACATTGCAGTCTTAAGACCCAGCACTTGACAAATCCCATATTTGGGAGCAGTCCCAGTGAATGCAGAATATCTGAGTAGGCATGCATTTGAGAGCCAGTTTGATATCATGGTGAGACTGTGAGTTCCAATCCTGCCATGGGCACAAAGCCAGCTGAGTGACCTTGGGCCAGACATTTTCTCTGCGCTCAGGAAGGAGGCAATGGCAAACTACTTCTGAAAAACCTTGCCCATGAAAAATGCAGAGATTTGTCCTGACAGTCTCCAAGAATCAGACAGGATGGAATGGAAGGGAGAAAAAAAGCACGGATTGGCAGGCTGCCCTTCCACCTGAAAATGAGTGGCAGAAACTAGGCCTAACAGCCTTAAGACTCCAGTCATCTTTTGTCTGCTATCTTGCCACAAAATTGATTTCCTGGAAAGGGGTTCTGTTCTTTTCAGAAACAGTTCAACAATTCAACCTGATAAAATTGTATCACCTGATCTAATTTTGCTTTGGCCATGAAATCATAAGTGCACAGTTTTGCTGCTTGTGGTCTGTGAATAATTCTGGAGTTCATTTCTTGCTTTGATCCTTTCCTAGTTTGACATGAAAGACTCATGTTGGGCTTAGCAGCAGAAAATATAGAGATGAAGAAG